CTAGTTTCTGCTTTGGGAAGAACACAGAATCAGAATCCTGGTCGGATTAGGATTAGCCGACTATTTTTTATTTGTTTACGTTTTGCTTGCATGTTTTAGATTTTTTCCTTGTTAGAATGTAATTAGGATTTGTGTCACCTAAGCTAGGTCTATTTAAGCTTGAACTTTCGTTGTAAAATTCAGTTTTTTGAGTTGCAATTGAAATACAAACCCTAGCCGGTTTACGAGCTCGAGTTTGAGAGCACCCTAGAATGAGTTCTGGGTTGTTTGGATTGCTTTTATCGATCAGCCTCCACCCTGATCGTGGTCAAGCCTTTACTATAATCTTCGAGCCTCCTTCCCGCGTGAAGGTTGCACGAGATTTCCACCCAATTCGCACCAAAGATCACATTGTTCGTGTGATCGCCTTTGAGCAAGTCCTGAATCCGCTAAATCTGATTAACGAGACCTACCTTTGGCCTCATCAATTAAATAGGTTCATTCTTTACTTGGACAAAAAACCAAGAGAGGAATTTGATAGCAAAGAAATTAAATAGGGTCTTATTGAATGAGCAGTGGTTTGATACAATCATAATTGTAGAGTTGAGATTATTAATACTGACTTCACATATCATTGTAGCCTCAAAGCCTCTACAAAAGATCCCTCTCTAAGGCTTTTAAATAGTTAGAATTCTTTGGTCATGTGGACACAACAGTGAAGTCTTGTCGTCAAGCACTACGGAGTCTATTACAAATAGGTTGGATGATAATGCAAAAAGTATGCTTTGTGTCTGTCACTTCGGCTAAAATTGAGTATATTGTACTTCATAAGAATCCTGATAAGGCTCCAGGTCCTTATGGGTCCCAGTGGGGTTCTAAATAAAGTTTGGAAAATAATCAGTGTTGCGGTAACGGTTGGTGTTCTTGATTTCATCACTTCAAGCCGGTTTTCGGGTATTGTAAATGCTACATATGTATCTTTTTGCTCTATAATTTCATTTGCTTGTTCTTTAAATGATTTCAAACATATATCATGTGAAATTTTCTATATAAAATCATAGCAAAGGTGTTGGCTAGTAGGTTGAAAAGATTTTCACATGCAATAATAAGTGGTCCATATATGTTTATTATAGTTTTGGACTGGTTATCTCTGCTTCTAAATGCAACTGCTAGTAAAATTCAGCTACCCTTTCATCCACAACGTAAAAAAACTTAGCCTCACACACCTATTTTTTGCATACAACTTGCTTATATTTATTGAGGGATAAAATCAAAAAATCACTAGAATGAAGATATATTAAATTATTTTTATGTGATGTATGTGTTGAGATGAAACCCCCCACCAAGTTTGAAGTCTACTTAGGAGGCTCTTTAGTTGCATATAAACATAATGCATTGAAAATGTTCGGACTTCATGAAGGGACATTGTGAGGGAGATACTTAGGACTTTCCTTATGGATTGCTTGGATGTTGAAATACAAGGTGAAGAATGGTAGCATGTGGAATGTCAATTCCAGTCCTAGTTGCTTTTGGGCTTGGAGAATGGTACTCAAAATACGACCCGCTCATCAAGTTCACTTTAAGGTGCAAGGATCAGCTTCATGTTGGGACAGTAGGCCTGTGGAAAATTTTAAATTTGTTATTGTTTGGGAAACCTTGAGGCCTAAATGACATGTTTTTTAGTGGGCATCACTTATGTGAGGGAAATGTTGTATATCGCTTAAGTTTCATAACATGGATGGCGATGTTGGATGGCATTGTTACTAGAGAAAAGATTATAAGACGGGAGAAAGATATGGATGGAATTTTTGTGTTGTGTGAATCCTATGTTGAAACTAGAGAGCACATTTTCTTTTCAATGATCTTACACAATAAAGTTTGTGGAATGTATTCGTTGTATGACTATTTTGTTGGATGTCATAGACTGACTAAGTTCATGTTGCATGTGTTCTCTGCAAACAAAATAATGTTGCTTGTAGACTTCTTGGTCTTCTCTAGTGCTTGAGTGTGGCATGCATACCTATGGATAGAGATATGCAGGATGCTTTATAGAGAACATCCTAAACCTGCTAAAACTTGGAAGATTTTGTGATCCAATATCTGCTATTTATAAATAGTGGATCGAACTGGTTAGTGGATTTAGTTGCAATGAGTACTAGCAAATTGGTAGAAAGTTGTAATATTGGCATAGTTGATTAAAGCATGTTGTTTTACTGGAATTTACCCATATTCCTCGAGGACTTGTGTTTGAACTCCTCTTCTTTGTATGGGTTTCAAGTATGGATCTTGCATACTGCTTTGCTGGCAATAAAAGGGAACAATTCAACAAAAAAATGTACATGATATATCAAGCCTAGTTTTTGAAGAGCTACATATTGGTCTAATTTATAGATTCTATAGTGAATTATGGTCAGTTATATCGACCAGGGTATAAGGTTCATTTATGAAAAATTGGGTCGTATTGTTCATTGAATGGTTATTATTTTATATATTGTAGGGAATCCAAGGGTAAGGAGGTCCTGGAGGAACCAAGACCAAGCATTGATATACCCACTAGAAAAAGTAAGTAGAATCAGAGATAATCCTTGTATGTTAAGGTTGATGTATAATATTGATTTTAAGTTTGATTGTGAGACTTGATTACCATTGAGATGCTTGGTTAATTGATGGACGTTGTCAAAAATATGTAGATGATTCTAACATAAATAGTGATTGTCTAACTATGGTTTTTTATCTTGATGGGGTGATTGTTGTGTAATGTAAATGTGATGTTGTTCTTCGTGGATTACTGAAAGATTACATGAAATCTTGAATTGTACCTTCAATAGATAAAGTTGAATTGGATTTATTTGATATTGTTAACTTGTACTTTTGATTAAGAAAGTGATATTTGTAAGAAAAGTTAGAAGCCTTTTGAAAGAAAGCGAGAAGCTCTTCGACATTCCATGAGCAAACCAGTAGTTGTTTTAGCCCATGATGTTCTCGGCGCTTAGAGAGGATACACTTGAAGACTTGTTGGTCAGAAGTATGTTTAATGAAGTAGAGAGGGATGTTTAATGCTCACGTCAGAAGAATCATAGATTTCCTTTTACCGCACAACGCCTGCAACTTGCATTAAATGTGCATGTTAGGAATGTTCATTATCGTACAACGTCTACGGTTGCATTTAATGTGTTTAGGGAAGTGTGATGCCTTCCCTGATTACGAGGCTTTGTACTATCGTCCATCACGCAAGCGTATGCTTCATCTTTGGTGGGCGTAAATGCATGATTCTTCTGGACTAAAAAGCGGGTTCCAAGCGGAGGTTCCAACAAAGTTCCATGTTTCGTGTCTTTACGCTTTTCGTTGACTCAAGCAAAGTGAGCCGAGCTTTACGAGATCAAACGTGAATCGTGACATGGGCCACATTATGCACTTTATGGATACCTTATAACAGTGGGGTCGTATCTCCTTTGTCTGCTACTTTACTGTGTCCTTTCTCTATGGGTCGCGCACCCTATAGGCTTGGTATCAACTATGGTCCTTTTGTAAATGGGCTTGAGACTGTAGCCTTCGGTATATAGATCTAGGATATGAGATGTTTATTCCTAATTTTGTGATAATATTATTCACGCGTTTGGTTATTCAAAGTCAATCAATGCTTTGATGGTGTTGAGTTGTGATTTCACATTGTTGACCTTGAGTATTGTCATTATTTTTGTCGATGTACTAATGCCTATATATATTTGATGAATTTGCTTGATTATTGATAATTCTGCTTACTAAGATTGAGACTCATCAAACACCCTATTTTTTGTCAGATTCGAAAGGGGCTTTTGCATCAGGCTTCTCGAAGATGAGTAAACTTTGATGCTTGATCGATCAGTAGTTGGGATTCACACTCTTTGCAAAAGCATAATGCATATGCATTCGAAACTTTGTTGAGTAGATACGTGAAAAATTAGTTTTAGTGTAGTAAGGTTAAGAAACTAAAGTTGTAAGCTACTGCGTGTTGAAGGTTTTCAACTTATAGATAAGTAATCTAAATGATTTGGTATGTTGTATGATATAATGGAGTTACATATGAATTATATATGTCCTAATGAGACAAGGTTCCTTGGAATTAGTGTGTAACTATTGTTGTTAGCATGTTAGGAAAGAGCTTAAACTGATGAATAAAGCCTGTGAAATATGAAACCAAGTTGTTGTCAACTACGCAGAGAGAACAACTCGGCCAATAGAACCAGAAAGTCCAAGCAGAACACACCAAACAAAGAGTGCGAATGTAGCAAACAAGAAACTAGAGCTCAAACCAAAACTACGATGATAAAAAAAACATGCCCGAGAAAGTGGATTCCCTCTAAGGTTTTAGGTGTTTTATTGTTTAAGTTCCAATGTAACTTTACAATGATATATTTATGAGTTGCTAATACACACCCTAACTATATGTCAACAAATTTTTTACACATTGGTAGTTATTAGCAATAAGAAAATTATATAAGATCCATACATGGATCTCTCGCAACAAATCAACTTATTGAGATCAGTTGGTTTATGATACGTCACATAGTTGGTTTATGATCGTGAAGTTTTGTATTGAAGTTCTCACGACCCAATGACCCCAGCATTAAAACTTTAGAGGGTTTCAAAAAAATTTCCCTTAAGAAAGAAGAAACATAAGGAGAGAAAAAAAAAAAAAAAAGCAATCAACATCTCACCAACCTCGTGAGTTAGTGATGGGAGGTGGTGGGAAAAAGGGAATGGAGTAGTGGAGTCGTCTCTCCAAGACTCCACCCATCAATTGAGTTGATACTGAGAGCGGATGGATCCAAATGCTAAACAGCATCAGAAGGTGGGAGGAAAAGAGGAAGGGAGAGGGGCATATATCCAACGTGGCGGTCGCTAATTGGTCAACATCAGTAGGCGGGAGTAGGTGAGTGACACCAACAGCGCCCCCTTCCTTCTTCTCCCTCCCTCCTTCGAGCATTTTATATTGACCTTTTTAGTCAGACATTTCTATCCCTCTCCTACTCTCCTTTGCCTTTGATTCCGTCTGCCTGTTTCTTCCGTCATTTTTTTCTTTCTTTCTTTCTATATTCCCTTTTCCGAAAGTCCAATTTCTTGGCCTAGCTATCTAATTATCTCACCACATCTATAAAACCTCCACCTCGAGGGCGAAACAACCCAGGTTGCTCCAACCTAATTCAAACTCATTTCCCACCCACCTTCATTTCCCGGCTGTTCATCTTCCTTTTTTTCCCTCCACCAAACCCAACCAAAGAATTCAGTTTCCGATCTTGGCGCCGGCCGGTGAAGGAGCACTAAGCAGAGTACTTCACTACTTCTTTCATCAGGTAATTGATCCTTCATTCTTCTCTCTCCGTTTCTTCTTTGTTTTTGCTCGTTTTGGTTCATGCATGTCCGTCAAACTCCTCCCTCTCTCTCTCTCTCTCTCTCTGTCTGTCTTTTGGTTTTGGAAACTATCATTTGTGACAAGAAAACGCGACCGGGAATCTAATGGAACGGTTGCATGTCATCATCGGGCGGCCGGGAAACTAATGGAATCTAGAAAATAGAGTAGTGGTAAAAAAAAACAATTTTGCTCCCTTTCTCGATTATTTATCTCCATTCAAATTAACTTTCTCTTACAAATTTCTGGAGAATGAAACCACCCATTCACGCATCACCACCTTAGTTTGATTATTCACCATCTGACGTACAAGACTTCGGATATAGATTAGGTAAGTTGGCAACTAATTAATTATGCTTACATAGTTATTAATTAGTTAGCTAGCCTACATTCAAAGAGAACGACAAAACAGAGGGTTATTTTGGTCCACACCATACCAGAATTGGTATTTGGGAAGTTTGTATTTATCTTTCTCCTAATAAAGTTAAAAAAAAATAAAAATTAGGTAATTTGGCAAGTTTACTTTTCCTTTATTACTCCTAATTAAACAAATCTATAGAGTTGAAATTTCAAACTGGAAATTAATATACTACCCTAATAAAAAAAAACAGATATTACTGCCATATATATGAATCTGTAAAGTGGAAAATTCAACCTGAAATAATATTCTAACCTAAATTAAAAAAGGGAATTATATTACTGCCGTCTATTTATTATTGTCCTTTAGTTTTTTGACTGTTTGTTCTTAGGTAGGAATTTGGTCCAACAGTAAAGAAAATTAGATGGGAATTAGCTCGGGAGTTGCGACTTGGATGCCTTCCTCTCTATAAATATATAAATTAACAGAAGACTACATATGAACCGTGTCCTGGGGAAGAAACAAAAAACAAAAGATCAATCAAAATACAAAGTAGGTTGGCAGGTAGGAAAAAAATATTACAGTCGGCCAACAAGTCAACAACTCTCTGCTGCTGCCTCTTTTTTGTTCTGTAAGTAGGACCAATTAATCGTCAACCCACCTTATCATCCTTCAACAAAACTCTAATCTCATTGTTCTTCTTCTTCTTCTTCTTTCTGCCAGTTCAAAGATACGCGTGATCTTTGGTTTACCCCTGTGTTATTCTTTTTCCATATTTCAGAATTTTCGTCTCGTGAAAAACATTATCACTAACAAGAACAAAAACAAAATCGGTCCAAGGGTTAACGTGACTGCACATTACACCTCCAGTCTGTCGTCCCCAACCAATATGATCTTTGCAACACCGAATCGAACAATTGATTTAAAACTGTTTTGTTGTTGTTTTAATATCCGATCCGATCTTTAATTAATTTTTATTTTATGACGCTGCGGGCAGGCCGGGATCTTACAAATATAATTACAGTCAACTGGGCCAGTCCAATTCATTTTCCATTTTTCATTAATGATTATTTTATCCCGTTGTCTACCTTGACCACTTAATTAATACAAAGCTAATTGCATTATATATACTTGTGGAGCAGGCCAGCAACCTTTACCAAGAAAAGCAAATCCGAACTGTGAAAGCGAAGAAAAAAAAAAGATCGAGAATGATCGTCAACGTGAAGGAATCGAGTTTGGTCCAGCCGGCGGAGGAGACTCCGAATGTGGGTCTGTGGAACGCCAACGTTGACCTGGTCGTGCCGCGGTTCCACACCCCGAGCGTCTACTTCTACCGCCCCACCGGCGCCGCCGACTTCTTCGACCCGGCCGTCATGAAAAAGGGCCTGGCTAAGGCCCTCGTCCCGTTTTACCCCATGGCCGGGCGGCTCAGGAGGGACGAGGATGGTCGGATTGAGATCAACTGCAACGCCGAAGGCGTTCTCTTCGTCGTCGCCGAGACCACCTCGGTGATCGATGATTTCGGCGACTTCGCGCCCACGTTGGAGCTCCGGCAGCTTATCCCGGCTGTGGATTACTCCGGCGGACTCTCCACCTATCCTCTCTTGGTTCTCCAGGTATGACGATAATAACCCCTTTCCCTTGTTTAGGAAGAAAAGTACCTTTAATTTCCGTGTATTAATGACAAATTGCGTAAAGCAAGGAGTTTTTTTCTTAATTGGGTTAATGATTCTTTGACGCAAATCAAAGTATTTACATATTCGGCAAAAAAAAAAAAATTAAATTCGTGCAATAGTTTTAATTAATCGGGTGAATGAATGGTAATTGTTTGCCGTAACGGAATTACATACTCTGCCTGAATGTTGATGAAAGTGAGACTAATTTACTGTTTCTACCGTGTCACATTTGCAGGTGACATATTTCAAGTGCGGCGGAGTCTCGCTCGGCGTCGGGATGCAGCACCACGCCGCCGACGGCTTCTCCGGCCTACACTTCGTCAACACGTGGTCCGACATGTCACGAGGGCTCGACATCACTCTGCCGCCGTTCATCGACCGGACCCTCCTCCGTGCCCGCGACCCGCCCCGCCCGGCATTCGAGCACATCGAGTACCTCCCTCCACCGGCGATGAAAACCATCTCCACCACCGCCGCCGCCGCCGTCACCGGTGACGTCGCTTCCAAACCGGCCGCTGAACCTGCCCCCGCCGCCGTCTCGATCTTTAAGCTTACAAGGGACCAGCTCAACGCCCTGAAAGCGAAGGCCAAGGAAGCCGGGAACACAATCAGCTACAGCACCTACGAGATGCTCGCCGGCCACGTCTGGCGGTCCGCCTGCAGAGCCCGCGGCCTCGCCGACGATCAGGACACCAAACTGTACATCGCCACCGACGGGCGGTCCCGCCTCCGCCCGCCGCTACCCGCGGGCTACTTCGGCAACGTGATCTTCACCACAACCCCAATCGCGTCGGCGGGGGATCTGGGCAACAAGCCCACCTGGTTCGCCGCGGGCCGGATCCACGACGCGTTGGGCCGGATGGACGACGAGTACCTGAGGTCGGCGCTGGATTACCTGGAGGTGCAGCCGGATCTGACGGCGCTGGTCCGCGGGGCCCACACTTTCAAGTGCCCGAACCTCGGGATCACGAGCTGGGCTCGGCTGCCGATCCACGACGCCGACTTCGGGTGGGGCCGGCCCATCTTCATGGGCCCGGGCGGGATCCCGTTCGAAGGGCTGTCGTTCATCCTGCCCAGCCCCACCGGCGACGGCAGCATGTCGGTGGCGATCTCGCTGCAGGAGGAGCACATGAAGTTGTTCAATAGCCTCATCTATGAGATTTAATTTCATTCAACTAGTAAAAATTGTCTCAAAGGCACATATGATGATGGTGGAATCGTTTTTTCATTGTTATTTTCCTTTTTGTTCATGATAAAGCTGCTCTGTTCATCGAATTCCTGCAGACTATTTCGTGCAACTGTTGATTAGACATGAAAATGCAGAGGAGAAAAAATGTTACAGTACTGCTCTGTTTTGGATGCTTGCTTTCCTGTCCTGCCTGATTTGTGCAATTATATGAACAGGGGATATGTCATATGTGGCTTTTGCTGTCCAAGCAAAGCATGTATGGCTTACCGCAATTCAGGCGAGTCCGTGGTTTCTGATTGATGACTCAACCACTCTGCTTTACAAGATTATGATGAAAGTGGCTCCATTCATAAAAGGAGCGAAAACACGATATAGTTTCAGAAAATGTGTGGAGTAGGTAGTGGTTGGATAGAAAGCGCATTCGGATTATCATCCAAGTTGGCCCCAACTTGTTTCTAAGATTGTCAGGTCGATCGTAGTGCCTGCTTGCTTGCAATTGTGATGGGCTGATGGCCCCTCCTCTTTTCTGTTGTGCTGCGTTACTCTCTGTTGTTGTTCGTCGTTTACAAAGTACTGGAGTACTAGACGTTTGCAGAATTGCACATTCTTAAATCGTGCTACATAGAGTTAATTAGAGTAACAGATCATCTGGTACTAGGTGTCCGACTAGAGGTGGCAAATGGATTGGATTGGTGGATTGGATTGGTTGATCCATGGATCTAATGGATTGGTGGATTCATGGATTGGATCAAGTGGATTGGTGGATTATCCATGAATCCAAATGACATCCTCAACCAAGGACCAATATGTAAAATGTAAAAAGTTTAGGTACTAAAATGTTACAATGAAAAATTTTAGGTACCAAAACGTAATTTTCCAATGATATTTTTCATATAAAAATTAAATTTTAGGTACCAAAATGTAAAAAATAAAAATTATAGGTACTAAACCGTAATTTACCAATGATCCATGGATCCAATCCATGAATCCACCAATCCAATTGGATTTGGATCAAATGGATTGGATTTAAATGGATTGGATTAGGTGGATATTTTTAATGGATTGATGGATTAGATTGGTGGATTGGATTGAAATTGCCAACTCTGTGTCCGACACCTCGAATTTATACAACTACTACAAGTCTTGCCAGTCTACTTGAAAGGCGGTATTACACATGCGTACACACACAACATGCTACAATCTTATCTCTATCTGATGAATTTTCTCACATCCGACTTCAGCGTTTGAAGAAGAGTGTAGACAACCCAACTGAATTTGCTTGTTTTCCCAAGTTCGAAGACATGACCAAACTTTGCTCACTCAGAGAACTAGACAGTAACAAGAGCAGAATAGAGGAGGGCCCAAAAATAACACGCAACTTTCACCCCAAGTAAAGCAAAATGTCGCCACACCGGATTGAGCACAAACAAACGAGTTGGATGGAGACCTTACAGAATCAGCACATGCCGAAGGTCACAACTGGCTGCAGGAATCGGCCCCATACGAAGAAATCAAAGTGGAAGGTAGAGAGTGAGTGCAAGAGAGAAGAGGGAGATCAGGGTGTAGAAGTGGGATGATGATAAACGAGTGGAGTAGTTTTTGTGAGGTGCAGGGGGAGCTCTGTGAGCAATGTCGGAAGCACCTCCATTCCCTCCCTTTAGCCCCCCTGTTCCTGATGCTTTACTTGATGAAGACACCACTTCACAACATTGCGGCCGTTTTGACTCTCTGCCATTCAGATCTGGGGTTGCTGAAGTAAACCGCTTGTTAAAATCACAATTCTGCTGATAATATAGGTAATGAATTATAACGGCAAATAACATGGAAAAAAGGTAAAACTTTCTTTTTAATCTTACCATGATCTTGTCCTCCTGGGAACTGCGGAGATGGATTTGACAAATTGAGATCGACTGCTGTAACTACTGATACAGAACAAAACAGCAACCAAGCAGCTACGAATACAACACTGCTCTTCATTCCTCCTGAGCTTTCTTGGAAGGACAATCTGGGTTGTAATTTCGTGTCTCGAGATGAGGTAGATAGGTTGGAGTTGGAAAGGAAAGCTGTGCTCTTTTTGATTCAGAGCTCCATTCATTCAGGTGAAGAGTTCATATAAAGAACACAGCTTTGAAGGCGTAGCTATTAACCAGGGATTAGGGACCACTCATCTGATGCTTGCTCTTCTCTGGATTCGCATTGGTTCTCCTTCAGTTTAGAGATTGTTCGATTCCTTTGGAACAAACCTTTCCCTTTGTTTGATTTCATTGAAGACCCCAGAGAGTCGAATCTGGAATCTGGGAACTTGATGAAACACAGTGGGTTCCTCCTTATTACGGTATTGGTTTAAGCATTGAGGGATCCAAAATTCCAACTGGTTGGCCCAAAGCTGAACACGAAAGAGGTTGGAGGAATTTGATTCCTCCACAAAAACTCACTTTTCCCGTGTAGAATACTTGCTTTATATCCAATTTTGGCATCAACTACATAGCCTTGTTCAAGTGAGGGCTCTTTTACAAGGGAGAGAAATGCTGAGTGGATAGATGCCGCCAGTTCAATCAGATTCAGAGATTTCCCCTGCTTCAGTTGGGCTCTTGCCTTCGAGGCCTTAACATTGGAATACACCAAATGAGGCTTTCAGAGTTTAGACATCAGAGTTGCTACTAAGCAACAAATCAAGTTCATGTAGCAGATAAAGAACTGAAACAAAACCCCACCAATTTTATTGCATCGAATAGCTCTTACAAATCCTTAACATAAGGACTCTCATGACATTCATACAAATCCTAATAAACCACTCCTTTTAAATTCAAGCCGCCCACAGAACGGCTAAAATTCGACAATCTAATGAACAGAGCTCAAGACAGCAGGACAATGAGCATCCCCATCAATTGTTCTCATCAATTTAGTCAACCTCCTCAATCTTAGGACCAGCAGCACCTGCAGCACCTGAGCCGCCAGAACCACCACCCATTCCCCCACCCATCGGCACATCGCCACCAGCTCCATACATCTTGGAGATGATGGGATTGCAGAGTCCTTCCAACTCCTTCAGCTTGTCCTCCAGCTCTTCCACCTCAGCCAATTGGTTGCCTTCAAGCCACTGAATCGCGTCGTCTATCGCCTTCTCAATCTTCTGCTTGTCTGCTGGATCCAGCTTGCCTGCAAACTTCTCGTCCTTCACTGTGTTTCTCATGTTATAAGCATAATTCTCCAACGCATTCTTAGCCTCGACTTTCTTCTTCACTTCCTCATCCTCGGCCTTGTACTTCTCAGCCTCCTGCACCATCCGCTCGATCTCATCCTTGCTCAATCTCCCCTTGTCGTTCGTGATCGTGATCTTGTTCTTCACCCCAGCCGTCTTGTCTTCCGCTGACACGTTCAGGATACCATTGGCGTCCATATCGAAGCAGACATTGATCTGCGGGACTCCTCTTGGAGCCGGTGGGATACCCTTCAGCTCGAATGTCCCAAGCAGATTGTTATCCTTAGTTCTCGCCCTTTCCCCTTCGTACACCTGAATCAAAACTCCAGGCTGATTGTCAGAGTAAGTCGAGAAAACTTGCTCCTTTTTGGTCGGAATCGTTGTGTTCCTCGGAATCAAGACCGTCATCACACCGCCGGCGGTCTCAAGCCCCAAGCTGAGAGGGGTGACATCCAAGAGAAGCAAATCCTGAACCTTCTCGTCTCCTTCCCCAGTCAGAATCGCCGCCTGAACAGCTGCTCCGTAAGCTACCGCCTCATCAGGATTAATACTCTTACAGAGCTCCTTCCCGTTGAAGAAATCCTGGAGCAGCTGCTGGACTTTGGGAATCCTCGTCGACCCTCCAACCAGAACCACATCGTTTACCTGAGCCTTGTCGATTTTGGCATCGCGGAGACATTTCTCCACAGGCTCCATACACCTCCTAAACAAATCCATGTTCAATTCTTCAAACCTAGCTCTAGTAATGGTGGAGTAGAAGTCGATACCTTCGTAGAGGGAATCGATTTCGATTGTGGTCTGAGAGGTGGAAGACAGAGTCCTCTTCGCCCTCTCGCACGCGGTTCTCAGCCGCCTCAGAGCTCTGGCGTTGCTGCTGATGTCCTTCTTGTTCTTCCGCTTGAACTCCGCCACGAAGTGATTCACCAGCCTATTGTCGAAATCCTCACCACCCAGATGCGTATCTCCGGCGGTGGCCTTCACTTCGAATATCCCTTCCTCAATCGTCAGCAGAGAGACATCAAACGTTCCTCCGCCGAGATCGAAGATGAGAACATTCTTCTCGCCGCTCCTCGACCCTTTCTTGTCCAGCCCGTAAGCAATTGCGGCGGCGGTCGGCTCGTTGATGATTCGGAGAACGTTGAGGCCGGCAATTGAACCTGCATCCTTCGTCGCCTGCCTCTGCGAGTCGTTGAAGTAAGCCGGAACGGTGACCACAGCGTTCTTAATGTTTTGACCTAAAAAGGCCTCGGCAATCTCCCTCATCTTGACCAACACCATGGAGGAGATCTCTTCCGGAGCGAATTGCTTCTCCTCGCCTTTGTACTGGACCACGATCATCGGGTTTCCTCCGTCGCCGGGAACGACCTTGAACGGCCAGTGCTTCATGTCTGCTTGTACGGACGGGTCGGAGAATTTCCGGCCGATGAGACGCTTGGCGTCGAAGACAGTGTTGTGAGGGTTCATCGCGACCTGGTTCTTGGCCGCATCGCCGATGAGACGCTCTGTATCGGTGAAGGCGACATACGAAGGAGTGGTGCGGTTGCCCTGATCGTTGGCGATGATCTCCACCCTGTCGTTCTGCCACACTCCAACACAGCTGTAGGTGGTGCCAAGGTCAATGCCGATAGCCTTGCCTTCGGTTTTGGGCGCCATTGCAGATTGTAAGAAGTTTGGTAGGTCGGATTGACTTGGAAGGGATGATCTGTGAACTTGGGATTTGGGAATTTTTCGCGGTTTTGAGGTTTGAGTAATGCGTTGGTTTGTGTTTTGAATTGAGATTGCTGGGCGGCCATTGGTGCAGAGTTATATAAGGCGGGAGACGGGAAAGTTGAGAGCTTTGGTGGAAGGAGGTAGGGAAATCGAGAGTAATGGAGAGAGTTCGAAGGGAGACGGTGAGATATGGAAGCAATCAAGCAAGCACCAGAGAATTCTGGAAGGCACTGTCAAGTCTGCAAACTGCAATTAGGCAAGGCGGAGGTGGACACGGGTTCGGGTTTAACATCCAATGGGCCGGGCCGGGCCGAATTACTTTCTAGCTCCAATGCAGAAGAGAGATTTAGATTATAATAATGAGCTAGGCCTCATTGCGGAAAATCAGGCCCAATTCGGCACTAAAATTAGTATTCGTTGCTCTAAATTCTAACAAATTTACTTTCTTGTCTTTTTCTTAATTTTAAATTCTAAAAAATTTACTTTCTTGTCTTTTTCTTAATTTTATTTTTCTAAATTTTTAAAACTTAATATTCAACACATTTGAAACTCTCTCTCCAATAAAAATCCAAATATCAACCCAAAAATCCAAATTACAACACCAAAAAACACAAAAACCAACAACACTTTCTTCGATAAATGAGTCTTTGTTGAATTATGGTGAGATTGCCGAAGCCCACAACCTTAGTCAATCTCGGTAGCCATTTGTTTGGGAAGAAAGTAATTCCTAAAAAAATTTATTGAAAATTGGACCGAACGGGTTGGAAACCCAATCTGACTAGGGCACAAAGGGGTTAGCCTCCCCTTATCCCTCCTCTCCTATAGACAAAGAATGGTTTCTAATCCACCCGACCGGTGGCCGGGTCGGAATTTCAAACGGTAATGTCAACTGTTGGTCGGATTGTCAACACATCCAGCTATTAGTTTGGTTGGATTTTATGCTCATCCAACCGTCGGTCGAGTTGGATTGCGGAAAGGTCCCCCTGACCCCTTACCAGATTGTTCGGGATTTCAGACAATGTTTTTGAAAAACTCACCTAACTTATTCTACTATTTATGTTCACTGAAAATGGTTGTTTTGTTGTGTTTATTTTTTTATAAATGGGATATAAGTTTATTTTTTAGTTGGGGGTACTTAAAAATTTGAATATGAGACCTCAAGCTTCAAGATTAGTGGTACAAACTCTGGACCAAGTCCTTGTTCGATGTTTTCTTCTGCTTTTAGGTGGGAGGGCAAAGTTGTAAAAGTTGCATACTCATTTTCTACCACCATTAATTAAAAACGAGGTTATTCAGGGTGGTTCGGTAACTCAATTCATATTATTGTTTGATAAGTTTAATTATTAAAATATAATTATTGTGCGACTAAAATAAACATGTTTGATCAATGAGAAATTAGTAATTTTTTACCTCATACTCTTTGTAGGGAGGTTATGGAGATGATGAGAGTGACAATGTAGATTACAAATCATTTTTCACAAGTCATATTCCTTGTGATACCCATGACGAAGCTTGTAAAGCGGCATAGAAGATTGTCCAGCTAAATAGGTTTTTCTTGATCGTGGGTTCATTCAAGCAAAACCCTAGATAAAAATATTTGTGGATATATTTGGATGGCAACCATGTTTATAGGGGCAAATCATATACCCTGGATCCCGCAAAAATAAGACGAAAGAATTTTAGTCAGGCAAGTTAGATTGTCATTTCCGAGTACTAGTGTAGAGTCACATTGATATATGGCAAGAGGAATCGGAGAATTTGTGGTATTATGGATGAAGATAATCCTGGTGAATCAAGGAGGTTTCACAATCACAAATTGGAGATTTATGCCGAAGGAAATAAGCTAAAGGAATTATCTTTCGGATGCTGAAAAAAGAGATATTAGGGAGATGGAGGCAATACATACTCAAGCGAGAGAAATAAAGGAATTTTCTCAACAAGAAGTATGATGCTCACCATAATACGAATCATATGTTGTCATAAACCAGTTGGTCCCAATAACTCGAGTTGTTGGGATAAGGTTATGTTGGATCTTATACCACTCTCTAGCACGCCCCCTCAAACGAAAGCCAACCCATGGGCTTGAAGTTTGCACAGGCCCACCATACCTTGTGCTTTAATCAACTGTTAATACTGGGGGTCGTGGAGATTCGAACACACGACCACTTGGCCAAACCAGGCTCTGATACCATGTAAAAACTACTAAACGTGGAAGCACAACACAACGATTTACGTGGTTTCCCCGTTCAGTGTGAACGAGACTACTCCACGGAGAGTCGAAGCTCTCAGTTTATCTTATTAGTATTCATAGTATATGAGTTGCGTGTGATACATGGTGCGGCTGACTTCTACTCCTAATATACCCATCAACAGCGTTCCTAGGGTAATTAGGTTAAGAAGGAAAATAACAAGAAGTGTCTTAAAAGAATACAATATGTACAAGGAGATACACCGTTCAACATATTTACAATGAGACTTCAAAGATTAATACAAATTATATTTACAAGCGATAGAAATTAGTGTAAATTTGATGATGAGCGGCGTGTTACTAACTTTCCCTTTCCGATCCAGATGATTCACTTGTTGAGCGCGTGGTATTTTGCTATTAAATTATTATGATAGACTCGGCGTACAAAACCAACAAGTATAACAAGCCAATGCTTCGGTTAATTGGTTTTATTCCATTGAAGAAGAACTTTGACTTTTGGTTTGCATTGGTGGCAAATGAGACGAAGGAGACATATGCATGAGCTTGATGCAATTAAAAATTGTGCTTGGTAACCGAATAACGGATGTATTCGTTACCGATAAGGAGAGATGATTCGATGTCTCCTTGCATGAGCTCTTTCCGTTTTTGACTCATTTGTTACGTGCATGGCACATGAAGAGGAATATTGAAGCCAAAATTATGTCATTCAAAATTAGTAGAGATACAGATACCTGTCAAGTCATTTGTAGAAGGTCCATGTGGGGGAGCGATGTATGCCAATACAGAGCAAGGGTTCCAAAGGCATTGGATGGAGTTGCAAAGTATTAGGTGTTGGTGTGCAATTAGAACTTTGATGAACTACTTAAGAGGTGAGTGGATACCTTGCGAGAGAAAGTGGGCTCGTTGCTACTCTTATCATGTTTTCCATTTTGGTAACTCGAGTACAAATAGGGTGGAGTCGTCTCATTCCTCCTTGAAGGGATTGCCACTTCGACCCACGAGATTGATACACTCTTCCTAAGATCTCACGCATTCATCGAGGAAAAAGTTATTGAATTGAGAAAGGACTTAGAGGCATCGCGTTTGAAGGTATTTTTATTTTCTCTTTAGTTAAGTGGGTATTTACATATACTTACTTTGATTTTAACTTAAAATTTTGTTCTTTGGAATAGATATTTTCATTAGATTATGGACCACCATATGGTAACTTAAATAATGAAGTGAGCTTATGGACAATTGAGTTGTTGATGGAAGAACAGAGTGGGAAAACGTTCAATAATGTGAATTTCGGCTACGGAGACACATGGTCCACCATGCAAATATTTTATGGAGGAATATAGTGATAGCGGGGTTGAGTTGTACCGCCATCACTTACATCCATTACGGTAATCTTTGGTATATGAAAGTCCTCCTAATAGTGCACAATGGGAAGACCACGATGCCATTGAGCATGGTATTTTTTGCAGCCATGATGGAAGATGTGTACAAGCGAGAACCAACTGCTATCCATAAGACCTCTCAATTACCATGTCCTCATGTTTGTCCACTTGCGGAAGGCCTTCATGACCCTAGGGAGTCAAGAATCCAAAGAGATGACCATGTCAGAGACATAATGCTCGAGTTCTTCTTATTTTCAGCATGAGAGGGCTCAATCGGAACAGAGGAGCAGGACAAATTAGAACCCCTAGATGAGCCATTCAGGTTAGGAACATTCTAGTATTTGTTATGTATTAATACGCCTTGGTTTGTGGTTGTTTTAGATTATTTTTTTTCATTCTAACAGGTGATGCCCAAAAAATTCAGCATATGAAAGTTCATAATGAGAAGAATGTTTGCCCTTACCTAAACTGTGTCACATTTACCAACCCTACGAACATCTTTCAAATAAGTTTAAAACCATGCATAGATGAGATCAAAACTCTTGTCCATATAATGATTAACACCGTGCTTCAACATCCTCATCTCCCAAAGTATACACACAGATAACACCAAACTTGGTGTTATTTATCCTACATATTTAGGTGTATTTTGTGCCAATTCGTGTGTTTAAATGCTTGAACATCGTCTAATACATCCCTATTGCATTCCTATTTGATTTCGATGTGATTCTAGGGTGTATTAGTCGATATATGCAAATTAGGTACAAAACAAGGTCACAAGTGTAGAGAAGGGACATGCGGCTAAATATTGTGGCCTGGAAGCCAAATATCACCGTTGGGATCACAAGTCGCAAAGACCAGCTGAAGATCGCGGCCCGAAAGCTAAAGATCGCCACCGCGATCTTTGAGGCTTAGGGCTCGAACTTCGCATGGAGGGAGCCTTGAAGAAACATAGAGTTTCCCCAGTCGCATCACGGCCAACGCTTATCTTGCCCACGAGAAAGATCACGGTCGTGACTCGCGGATCGCGACCGTGAAGTCAGCCCGCGATCTTCCCCTTTACTCAGGCCTCGACGAGTGCGTTTTGAGATCACGGTCCAAAGACCAAAGATCCCGCCCGTGATCTTCTTTCCTCGGGCCGTGAACTTCCCCGTGTCTAGAGTGCCTATAAATAGAAGACCATTTCCTCATTTTAGGAGAGTTGATTTTGAGAGAAATTTTTTGGTTCTAGAGAGAGAAGCTGAAGGAAGGAGAATAGAAGGAGAAGAAGAAGGAGCTAGGAGTAAGGAGGATCTTCCCCAACTTCAAGTCTTCTTCTATTTCTACCATGTATCTTATTTTCTCCTTTATGGAGT